GCAGCAAGAGCAGCAGCAGCAACGGATGCAAACCCCGGGCGTAGTCTCTTCAGCACGCAGCAACAACGCGAAAAACGCAGCAGCAGCGGCAGCAGCAGCTGCTGCTGCTGCTGCACCCGAATCGTAGTTGAGAAGCTGCAGCTTTCACCACAAAAAGCGCAAGCACTGGGAGTGCAGCAAAGCAGCAGCAGCAGCAGCAGCAGCAGCAAAGCCCTTGGGCGGCAGGTGACCTGAGAAAGTTTGCTGCTGCTCCCTGCTGGCAGCAACAGCAACAGAGGTTTGGCTGATGTTGTAGAGATACCCGACACGGCGGCCCCCGCCTTGCCAGACCTCCACTCCGAAGCGCGACTCCAGGCTGCTGGGACGGCTTGCTGCGCTGCTGCTGCTGCTGCTCGCTTCTGCTGCTGCTGCTGCTGCTGCTTCTGCTTCTGCGGCCGCGGCGGCTGCTTCTGCGGCCGCTTCCGCTGCTGCTGCAGCTACGCGCTGCGCACGCGGAGGCTGCTGCTGCCGCTGCTGCGGGAGCCCCCCGAGGTCCTCCACGTCCATGCTGCTGCTGCTGCCTGCATGCGCGCCGCTGCTGCTGCTGCTGCTGTTGCGCGCGGGCCCCACAGCATGGGCGCGGCTTCCAGGGGGGACCCCCGAGGGGCCCCCTGGGGGGCCCCAGCGGCGCATCGCTGTCTCTAGGGCCGCGGAGAAGGGGGGCCCCCAGGCAGCGGCATCCGCAGCCGAGGTTGTTCAGGGTTTGCTGCTGCTGGTGCTGCTGTTGCCGAGGCGCGCGAGAGCAGCAGAAGAAGCGGAGCTGCCGCGGACGAAGGGGAGGCCTGGCGCGTAGTCAGCGAGCTAGGGTTTAGGGTTTAGGGTTTAGGCTGGAAGCGGCCCGAAGGCTTGGAAGCGTGCGGTGGCGGTGGCGCGTTGGGGAGTTTCGGGTGGAAATTAGATGAAACATCGGTTGTTGGAAGGCTTATTGAAAAAGAAGGAGTTTGAATTTGAAAGGTGTAAAGGGGCTGAAGGCTGCAGGAGTGAGTGAAGCGGTGCAAAAGGGGTCTGGAAAGGTAAAGTGAGGAGTGGCGGGGGTGGTGTTGGGTGGACGGGTTGGTTGTGTAGCGGGAAGGTGTCGGTACAGCCGGGAAAAGTTCGTCAAGCGTGGGGGAGGGGTTAGAATTGTTAGCGGGTTTGAATTGGACTTGAATTTCGGGTTAAAATAAAGGTTTAAATGGTTCTTTGGGAGCAAGTTTCGAAATAAGAGCCGGCTTCGGCATCCACGCATGCTGCGTCGACGCTGCAGCAGCCGCCTGGGGGCTGCGCGGCGGCCGCGAATCCCCCCCTCGCGGCTGCGCGGCTGGGCGGGTGGGTTTGGGAGTTTGGGAGAAGTAGAAAAGTAAGTGAAGTGCATTTCTGTTCTCTTTTATCAATTTGAGGCCCGATTGGCTCGCACTGCGTGGCGCCCCGCTGCTGCTGCTTCACGCCCCGCATGTAGGTAGCACGCGTGCCGGTGCTGCTGCTGCTGCTGCTGCTGCTGTGCTGCGGTGGTTGCTGCTGCTGCTGTTGCTGCTGCTGCGGTGCTGCGCCGCGGTTGCGGCATTTTTTCTTGGCGGCGGCGTTGCGGGGCGTTTGGCGTGGCGCTTCCCCACCAGGCGGTGCTGGTGCTGCGGCAGCTGTAGACGCGACTGCAGCAGCAGCAGCAACGGCAGCAGCAGCAGCGGAGGCCGTGGCGGGGGACTGCTGAAGTCTGCGTAGTTCGTCTCTGCTGCTTGCAGAGTGTGTCTCCCCCTCTCTGCGTTGTCCCCAGCAGCAGCAGCAGGGGCCTGACTGCGGCGCGAAGAGCCCTTGCGTCTCTTTCTCCGTGAGTGGCTGCTGCTGCTGCTGCTGGTGGCCTTGGCGGTTGGAAGATGCACCGGGAGTCGGAGCGGGGGAGCAGCAGCAGCAGCTACCGGGGCGGGGGGGGCCCCCCGCCTCCGCCGGTGAACGGGCGCGGGGGGGGCGGCGGCGGGTCCTGGCGGGGCCCCCCGGCCGGCGGGGAGGGCGGGGGCCCCCCCCCGCCTCCGTGTCCGCCTCGGGAGGGTTACCGGGAGCGGGAGCGGGATCGGGATCGGGATCGGGAGGGTTACCGGGAGCGGGAGCGTTACTACCGGCGGGAGCGCCCCCCGCCGGGTCGCTACTACGAGTCCCGGGAGCGGGAGCGGGAGCGGGAGCGGGAGCGGGAGGCGTTCGGGCCGGCGCGCGCCGCGCGGGAGGGCTTGGGCGCTCCGTACCGGGATCGCTCCCGGGGGGACGATCCCCGCGCCCGGGGGGACGATCCCCGCGGGCGCGGGGACGATCCCCGCGGGCGCG